CATATAACACTATTAAGCATATTATATGGCTTTGGGTCTTTAATGTTTGTACAAGTGCTTTGGAGATAAGATATACAATGGTCACAATATTTATATAAATTATTTGATCTTAAATACTAGTGTAGAGCAGCTTTTAAGGTGTATATCCATCATGCAAAACTATCCCATGTTTGTGATCTCAGTTATTTTTCTGCATTGTGGGTTTAACATTTGTGAGCCTAGTTTAGTGCTCAAGAAAGGAAATAAGTCTCCATTCACTATAATGGAGTTAGAAGCAACTATGCTAATGATTAATTTGGCCTCGTGACTGTAGTCTCAAAAAATGCTACCAGCCATCAAATAAGAAATATTTTCAGCTTACGCAATCTAATTATACTGTCATATGCTTCCTCCCTCAAAGAGTGCTCAATATCTGATAATTAGCATATTAATGGGGATTATTCACATTTTGATTTTTAAGTTTTAAATTTCTATTGTTTGTGGCTTTATATTTTGTTATATTTGTGCTTATTTCTGGTACTGATGTGTTTTCATCTTCAGGAGTCGTCTTTGTGAAGGGTGTTCCTAATATTCTTATCTTAATTCCTCTCTTTAGGGATTTGTTTGTAAAATATTTCAAGCATTCAAGCCCTTTGTTAATTCAAAGGCAGATTATAATATTCATAGATTCCATGTGTTAGTCACCTTTGTTGAATGGCTGAGCAGGTCAGGGTTTATTTGATGCAGATTTTCTTAATTCTGTTAAACATTCTGATAAAGAGCACACTGCAACATTTTACTCGTGCTCTGGAGAGGATGTTTGACCTGGATTCTATTTTAATGACGAGAGCCATCCATTTCAGATCCATTGATTGGTACAGTATGATTGTCATTTCTAACAGAGGCCATGGGACTGCAGCTCAACCCTTTTGCAGCTATTACTCCAGTCCAGCCTAAGGACCAGAAAAACAACCACTGTCCCTTGGAAACCTGTAAGGGTATTCCTGGCCAGTGCAATCCACAGCTTCCATTTAATGCTCCCTTCCACAATGGCATGTTAGTTACATGCAGCTAATCTCAGTGGCGCATAAGGAGTACAGAGGGCCCCCTTCAATAGACACACAGCTTACACCCTACCCTATTCCAGAACAAATCAATTATAAGGCTTCTGTAGTGTGGAGCGCTGTGCATGGGCCCTCCTCAAAGGTGCTAGTTTCCTTCATCATGGACAAGCAACAGAAAGAACATAGAAACTAAGAGAGTGCATTAGCAGCCCATGTGAAGTGGGTATCCTGAAATTGAAACAGTTTCAGTAATTCATGCCTTTGGTAAAAGGTATTTATCAGGCATAGTAGATAAGGGAAATCATGAATAGGTGAGCAGAAAAAACAGAAGAACTACATGTCCTAGAGCACGGGTCAGAAACCTTTCAGAAGGGGTGTGCCGAGTCTTCATTTATTCACTCTAATTTAAGGTTTCGCATGCTAGTAATACATTTTAACGTTTTTTGAAGGTCTTTCTATAAGTCTATAATATATAACTAAACTATTGTTGTATGTAAAGTAAATAAGGTTTTTAAAATGTTTAAGAAGCTTCATTTAAAAATAAAATGCAGAGCCCCCCGGGCCGGTGGCCAGGACCTGGGCAGTGTGAGTGCCACTGAAAATCAGCTCGCGTGTCGCCTTTGACACGCATGCCATAGGTTGCCTACCCCTGTCCTAGAGTATTTTTTTTCTCACTTAGGCTTGTTTCCCGGAGGAGGGTCAAGTCTCTTTCAGAAGAGGATCACCCAAGCAGGCTGAAGAAAAATGAAAAAAGGATTTTTCTTCTTGTTGGATTGCTTTCATTTAAGACTCAGGAAAAGCAGAGCTGTCTGAATATTGAGAATTCTATACAATACAGCTTTCACTGAGTCCTCAATGGAAATGAGCCAGCAAGAAAAAGAAATCAACAGGCAGGTCTGTCCAGATGCTTAAAATAACTACCAAAATACACTATTTGCTTCATTTTTTTTCTTGAGGGACTCCTCCTTTTAAAATATATTTCCTTCATGGGGGGCTTGAATAGTTTTCCCTATACCTTAGAGAAGTAACACAATAATGAAGTTGGAAACATTCGGTGCTAGAACAAACACACATGAGAATGAGATGTGATAAGACTGGCAAAACACCATAGGAGCAGGAGAGAGAGAACACTTGACCATTATATTTGGAGTTAGAAATCATTTTATTGGGATGGACCAAGAAACATCTGTCCATGCTATGATCAAAGGATCTTCCACTCTCCTACCCCTCCCAACCAGCCCTTCCACATGAAACTTGAAATAAAGAGAATATAAACTCCAACGATCAAAAGTTTTGTCAACCCTGGATGCTGCAGCGGCAGCCATGGAACTGTTACGTGGGTGCTCCAAACTTCTGGCTCCAAATTATAGAGATAAAGATTCCACACCATCCAACCCTTGCATGGGAAGTCAGGGTAAAGCCTACTTACTTAAGGTTAACACAGGGATCATAATCTAGGTATTTCTAAGGCTCCCACCAAGACCAAAGTATATGAATTCCAACAAATGAGCCACTGCTGGAATTTAAACCCGCAATCTCTTGTTAATCTTTACCAACTATTCCTCAGAATTTAGCTCTTTGAAAAGTTTCATATATGTACTTAACTGACAAACTGTAGAATTATTGTTCCATATAGTTTGTCAACAAGATGAGTTAACTGATCCGGTGTCTCTATAGAAGTCAATAGCATTAGCTAGCTAATTAACACGGCCCAGTATAGCAATGTCTTGTATTTACCTTTTATTCTGTTCAGTGGTTTACTCAATTAAGAGGTATTTGTTTTTTAGTATTTTATAAGCCCAGGATCTGTGTAAATTGCTACTTGGCAAATTTCATTTGGCAAAAGTTTCATTCTCATGTCAGGTATTTGTTTTATTTGGCTTAACAGAACTGCAATTTCCTTTGGTAAAAATTTCTGAACAAGAGATCCTTTGTCAGTGGCAGGAAAACTAATCTTTTATCTGTGCTTAGAGGACATTTAGTGAGACATGCAATTTTGCAGTATTTTCTCAGATTTTATTTTGTGCTCCAACCTTAATCCAAATGAAGGATCAAATTCAACCTTCATTTACACACCCATGCAATTCCCCATGTCACAGACTTCCATGGGTATAAGTGAAGGTAGAATTTGGTGCTATTTTTAATGCAACTGTTAAGTAGAATTACAAGCAGTAGTTAAATAGAATAAAATAGTATATTTTTATCAATAATACATGACAAATATGTCAACAAGAATGAGTGAAATTCTGTGTTTTAAATTATATATCTCTATGCAAGCATGTTTCTTTTTCTCTTTCGCAGATGCAATACAGCAAATACACCGGTCTGGATTGTCGCCTCCATACACCAGCTCTGCAAACAGACAAAAGCCACAAACCAGATGATCTCCTCACAGAGAATACTCCCATTGGAATAGGGCTGTATGGAAGCAAGAAAAATGATCTTCTACCACACCTGACATAGGGGCATACCAGGGAGGTAGCAAAGAGGCATGGCTGCTCCAATTATTCTTACTGCTGAATGTCTCCATAGGGAGCTGTTGCAGCACAGTGAGAGTTAGGGCAGGGATGCAAAGAATTAAATAGTGCAAAGATGCCTTAGTCACCCTAGCCACTCCCTCAAACCCAGCCTATGTTGAACTCAGCTCAATCATAAGTCAAAACATCAGGGCCAACATGCTCATTCATATTGTGTAGAGGATACCAAATATGGGATGTCATTGTTTCATAAGAAACTTCATATTAAACTTTTTTCTCATTGACGTTTAGTTTGGTTCATTTTTAATTAAAAAAACAAAGCCAAAAACAAAAAAACAAAAAACACACCATGAAAGTTAACTGAAGTTATTCCATTGTTATGTCATTTAATAGTACTGAGCAAATCTTATTGAGTTAGATATTAGCTTGTTACATTTTCAACAATTAATTAAGGCTAAGATGCTGTTCCCACCATAAATCTTATTTTATATGATTATAATTTGGACATTTTAATTAACTCCAGGCTGAAACTTGGCATATAATTTTAATACATAAGAGTACATTTTAGTGTACAAAATTACTAAAATTGGTTAAACCCTTTTCTAGTGCAGGAGGTTAAAAAAGTGGGGAGGGATTTAATTTCATGAATAAATTGCTTTATGACTTTAGAGCCATTTGCATGCCTGGCCCTCAGTCTGCATGCAGGACGCCTATTGAAGTAAATGGAACTTCTGCATATCAGTGCCCCATAGCCTGCACTTTTGGGCTAATGCTTGTTTGTAATACCACCTGTATAAAGTGTGTAAGGAATTTAAGTTCTCTCTCAACATTAATGTCCCTTTTTCTTTCTTTTTTTGAGGGGTTAGTTGGGAAGTATGAGGGGAGGAAACAATCACCCTTTACTTTGATCAGATCCTGGCCCAGCACTGGGCTGAACAGTATTGATGAAACAGTTAATGTTTGCATTCTGACTATAAACGATACCTTTGCTCCATCATTTAGCGCTACAATGACCTGCATTATCCATACTGAAAACAGCACATAGGAATAACACACTGAAAGTGCAAACAGAGGGTGGCACCATTAAACTCTTTATGGGAGTTTCTCTCTCCCCTTAACCTTATGGCTGATCCCATGGCAACGTTGCTCCTCCTGCAGTTTTCTATAGAAAGTCGATTCAACGTCAGGGACAGAAATTGGGTAAAATGGGCCAGATGCACCTGGCCTCAACGGAGGAGCCCGTTCCAAAGGCACACGGGGAAGGATCCTGCAGAAGTAACTTATCTGTGTTTCAATCTACAACCCTCCAGCTGTCAAGTGCAAGTTTCCCAAGACTTATGGCTCCTGCTGGCAGTTTCTATTAGCCAGGCGCCACTTTCTCCAAACCGTCCCGGCAGCTGCTCACCTGCACTTGGGCGCCCCATTCAACCCACTCACGAGAGTGCAAAAAACCGACCCAAAACAAAGCCCGGCAACTTACGGCGCTGGCACAGCCCCGGCACAGCTGCGAGCACACGGGCTGCCCGCAGCATGGGGCCAGGCCCTCGTTGGCATTTCTGCAGAGAGACGATTCCAGCAGTAAGAAAAGCCAGGAGTGGGATCCACATAATGCGAAGCAGACGGCACCTCTCCCTGTCCTGGCGGCCAAGTCTCGGCTGAGCGGCTCGCTCGCTCTCAGCCCCGCCGCGGGCTCGGGCGGCTGCGGAGGAGGAGGAGGAGAAGCAGGAGGAGGGGCGCACCCTTCGCAGGTAGGAGGCAGGGCAGGGGCAGCGTGCGGCGCCGCATGTCAGGGCGAGCGTAGGGACCCCCGAGCCCAGCGCAAAGCCCCTTGGCGGCAGCAGGAGCCAGGTCCTTTCCGCGCAGGGACGGCGGGCGCCTCCATCCGCCCCCAGCCCGGCTCACAAAGGGCTTTTGTCTCCCTCTGCCCGGCGGCGGGGGAGGCACTTGGCAAAGCCCCAGAAGCAAGGCGTTAAGCTGCCCCCGGCTCACTGCACCACCCTCGCTCGGGGCCCGGCCCGCCAGGTGGGCTCTGCCGGGGCAGGGTCGGTGGCCCCGGGCTGCCCCTCCCCGGGAGCGGAGAAGGCTCCACGCGCGGGGGCTGCCGTGTCCCCTGCCGGCGTGAGCGGCTCGCGGGGTCCCGCGTTGCTAGGAGACCACCAGCCGCAGGGCAGGCTCCAAGCCCGTCCGGGTATGGGGCGCTGAGCTCCGGCTGCGGCGCGCGGGGCGGGGCGAGGCGAGGCGGCAAGTCTCCGCCCCCCGCCCGCTCCCTTTGTTGCGCTGAGCTGCAGAATCCCGGCGCCCCCCGAGCTCCGTCTTCGGCGGTGCTGCCTTCAGTGCCTCGCTCCAGCGGGGCCGAGCGGGCGCCTGCTTTGGCACGGCGTCCCTAGTCTTCCGGAGCCTCGCCCGCTGCTCCCCCAGCCCCGCCATCCCTCGGCCATTGCACCCCCGGGACCCACCCCCCGACTCCCATGCACCCCCACCATCCGGAGTCCTCCACCCCCCTGCACCTCCGCGCCACGGCACCTCCCCCTTCAGCGCACCCGTCCCCACCACGGCACCTCCTCCCCTCGCCCCACGGCACCTCCCCCTTCAGCCCCGCACCCGTCCCCCTGCATCCCCTCCCCCCCCCGGCCCCCCGGCCGCTCCCCCCCCCC